TAATCCAGAAATCACTTCAATTTGTAGGTTGACTCATGTGACCTGAAAGTATAAGTTTAAATGGACAGAACTGTTTGTTTTCCTTTTTTTTTTCCTGTAGTAATGGGAATTGAGAGATAGTGACCATTGAGGTTTGTTTTCATTTTTGGTGCATTAATCTAGACATGGAATCCTGTATAAAGATTTGTTAATATAATTAGTAGGATGCAGTAAGGGAGGTAGGGAAAATACTCTATTTTGCCCTCCTGTCTCTTGCTCTTTATCCTTAAAATAACTTCATAAGGTAGGTACTGTTGTCCCTAGTCTGCAAGTGTAGAAACTAAAGTTTAGTGAGCTTAATAAATTTTCCAAAATCATAGCCAATATGTCAATGGAGAGTAGCAGAGTCTGAACTCAATCTAGGTCTAAGTGATTACAAAATCTACATATGTACCGTCAAGGGTAAAGACCATAGAAATCTTCAGAATTTCTTTGGTTTTTATTTTCACGTACCAATTTTCAATTGAGGGAATGTTGGGGTATCCCCATCAGATATTACCACCATTGTGAACCTACCACCCAGAAGATGTGGTATAGAAAAATGTGTTAGAAAAAAAAATCTGTAAAACCAACACTTCACTATAAAACACTCTACACTTAAGCATTTTTTTTTCTACATCTCCCCTTTTCACAGAAAGTCCATCTTTTTAAAAAAATCTGTAGAAATATATATTGTTTCATTTAACAAGTTATGACCACAAACAAATTAATGTCTATCAAATTTGTAAGGTGATTAATGTCAAATGTGAAAACTATCCATTGGCTTGTATAAATTGAGAATAGTTGGGGAAAATTGTTATATTTTAAAATTCAGTTATTTCTTTCTTAATACCTAGTAAGTTAATTAATTAAAGCAAAAGCTGTATCAAAAAACTACAAGTTTATAAATTCTAACTGGTTCTTCTCTGTTGGCCTGCTTCATCAGAGGTTGTACATTAGCTGGGTGCATATGCCTTAATCACAAGACAAAATATTTAGCCCACATTATGTAATAATGACACAGTCTTTTTAGGCCAACAGCCTGAAGCAGTACTCCAATAAAAAGCACTACTCCACAATTAACATTCTATAGGCAAATAGGTAGAGTAAGAACATTACGATCAATGCGCAAAAGAGCTAGCCAGACGAAAGTTTTTAAGTATATGTTATTTACTCTGAGATAATCTTCATTTTTCTCTAATATTTATGCCATATTGAAAGGAGGGTGCTCTACCTTTCTTAAAACCACCTATTAGATTGAAATAACAAAAGGGTAGGAGGCAGAAATAGTGAACAAATTAACATGCATTTATAACCTCTTTTCTAGGAGTTTAAACCTTAAATGACCCTTAATAGAGACTGTATAACATTTCAACAGATCTTTCCTTCCATAATAATAATGTTCCCCACCATTAACAGAATGCTTTAGAGTTTAAAGTACTTTTAAGGTATATGTGATCCTCACAATAACCTGGGAAATACTGCCTCCTCTTCATAGAAAAGAAAACTAAATATAAGAGAAGTTAGTCATTAACTGCCCAAGGTCATATAGCTCACAAGTAATAAAGGTTTCTGAAATTCAATTTCCCAGATTCAGATTTCCTGCTGTCTTCCAACCTGTAACACTATCAATGTTTAATTTGAACATGGCCAAGTATTCTAGTCTTGTCTCCAAGAGGATTTTATAGGGATGTCTCATTTTCAATTTGACTGAAGTAAATGTACATATTGTGTTTCTATTAAGGTTCAATTGCTACAGAGATGACAAATATAATCAGTGTACCCCAAACCATTCTCATTTGGTAGAGAAGATACATACATAAACTGCAACTCAAGTTATTTTCTTACTATATATTCACTGTGCCTTTCTGAAAATGTGTGTGAAAGTATAAATGTAACAACTATTGAATTGCCACTTGAAATAAAAGAATTGTACAGTATATGAATTATATTGCAATAAAGCTTCTAATGAAAAAATCTAACAAAATTATTTTTAAAAGGAGATAAAATCAAACAAATAATTCTTCTTAAAAGGGAGTATTTGTTTATAAAAAGTCAAGGATAATCACAAAGTTATTAATTACCCTGGACAGTGTGTACCTGCTATATGATAAAATCTCAGTATTTTTAGGGACACTTTTGCACAAAATTATTAACCTACAATTTTTATCAAAGTTATAGGTGCTTTATTTGTAGTATTTTTAATTTTAGGGTTGCTTCAAACAAACATTAATTTTGTGAGAATTATATATTCTTAACATAAATATACTTGGTTATGCATTTAAGAACGGGGGTATAGGCCAGATGTGTGGGGGCTGATTCACCAGAGACAGAGTGGGGAGCAGAACAGGTGAATCTACTGAAATACACTGCTGAGGGGAGCAGCAGGCAAGACAGGAAAGGTCTGCTGTGCCATGTGGGTAGCTCCCTTGCCAGGGACTGAACTTGTGGAATGCACTCATGCTGCAGTGGCTGAAGATAGCTTGATAGCACTGACATTTAGCCCCTGCACCACCGGGGAGGCCCAAATTACTATTTTTAAAAAATATTTTTTAAATACTACTTATTTATAAAAGCATAAATAGAGACTCTGCCCAACAAAATGTGCTCTGGCAAGCAGTGTCGCCTTGGAATGGTTCCAAACTAGAAAGTTCCTGTGAAGCACAGGCAAGAGCCTCCCTGCCCATTGTCTAGTGCTTCAATCCAAAGTGAACCTTTTATTTTACAGGTGAGGTCAATGAAACACAAAGGTGTTGACCTCTTGGAATATTCTCAAGGTCACACAGCAAAAGACGAACTTAAGTGAAAGTTTCCTCCATTGCCCATTTCACTGTTCTGTTGAGTTGGGGTTACCTGGCCTTTATTCAATAAATAAATAACTTCATTTTTTTAGGCACCATTCTCAGGATTATAGATATGTTGGTAGAAATCAAAGAAAAATCCACATAGTGGTGAGAAAGGTAAGGAAGTAACTGAATGAGCAATCATAAATGCACCAATAAATAAAAGATTAGTTTCCATTCAGAGGAATGAAATGAGGTTAATACTGGGGAGTGAATTTAGATTCTGAGGAGTTGACATTAAGCTGAACCCTACCGTTGAGGATGGAGCTGGACGGGATCATGCTCAGCGAAATAAGCCAGAAAGAAAAAGAAAAATACCAGATGGTCTCACTCATAGCAGGAATTAAGAAAAAAAAGGGACCAGGAAAAAGACTAATTATAATAGAGTGAAAATCAAAATCAATAAGCTACTAAAAACCAGAGACAAACTCCGGGGGAGGGGGCGGGGAGTAGGATCAAAACAAGGGGGGGGGCAGTGGGAATTGTATGGGGATTATAACCAAGATGAAAATGCATACATTGTGCAAAAATGAAAAATGATGTAAAAAATATATAAAATTCAAAAAATAATAATAAATTAAAAAAAAGGTATTTAGGTAGTACACTGATTGGAAAAAAAGCCCAACAGCAGTAATGACCTTGGAGTGTGCTGAGGAAAATAAAGGTATCAAAAAAAGCTCTACATATTAAAGGATGTAGCTGGCTGGAGGCAGAGACAGAACTAGAGAAAGCAGGGTTGATTAATACAATGTAGAGAAAGTACTTCATTCCAGTAGAACCTTTGTGCAGTTTTGACGCTATTTTAAGGGTTTGATAAACTTCATTATTTTGAATGGTATACTCAGACTTTACCTTAAAACCAAGGAGTATAATCTACTGCATACCTGTGTTCCCTAGCAGCACAAAGTTTGAGCGAGTCTTACTTTACCAATCTATTTTCTGTAGTCAAAGTGCTTTTCCTAAATTGCAAATCTGAAAATACATGTCCCCACTGAAATCCCTTTAGGGGCCTTTCTTTCTTCTCAGCAGAGTCAAACTCCTCACCATGGCTAACAGCATCGAATGTTGGTCACCGCCAATTTCTTCTGCTTCACGTCTTGCTAGCTCTTGCTTATTCCACCTGCTGCGTCCTCTATTCTCAAATGCACCTATGCTCCCTCTAATTGCTAATGGTCTTTCCTCTACCAGGAAAAGACAGAACTGCTTCCGGCTTATCTCTTTCCAGCACTTTTATTTAAACTTCAGGTCTTTTTAAAAGTAACACTTCCTCCAAGTAAGATCCTTGCCCACCTGCCTCATTTAAGTGCTCCTCCTCCAGTTACTCCATCATCAATAGCCCTTACCACTCCCATATTGCAAATGTTTGCATACTTGTAGCTATCCTTCATAATCTTGTTGAGGACAGGAGCCATGCTTTCTTGTTTCCTATTAATTATATTCTCTACTCTGAATGCAAGGCTGGGCATTTAGCATCAAGGGACTCACTCAATATATATTTTGTCCAATAGGACAAAGATAAATTTCTACTTCCTTCATCTCTACTATGAAGGAAGTTTGAGTGCTTCCATTTTCTATTGGCTTAAAATTCTTAAAGGACAGGAACCTTAGGCTAGTTTAGCTTCTATCTATAACTCTAAATATAATTTAGTGCTCAAAGAACATTCATAGAATTTTTAAATTGAGGCTTTATTTCCTTTGCTTTATATTGCATGATATAGACGTTACATTACATGATGGGGTTTCTGGTTAAGAGCTGTATCATATTCTTTGTGTAAGGTTTACCTGCCTAACCATGGATATCATGTGAAAGACAAAGTAGGCAAACGTCTAGGTTAATGCTACTGGCCCACATCCAACACGGTCTGCCTTGGTAAATGATCTGCTATAAAGTATTCTTGCATCTGAGTATTATCCTACAAGTAAAATACTGTTATGATCCTGTAAATTAGACAATTTGATTAGAAATGTGTAAGCATCTTTGAGACTTTGAGATCTTTCTCTTTTTACAATGTGGTAAAAGATTTAGAACAGATCATAACAATCTATTTTAATGCATTAATTCCTTACATTTAAAACCCAAACACAAAATCATAATTAACCTAAAACATCTATTCCAAAATTATAGATATTTGTAATTACCTTCCAGCGCATATTTCATATCCAGAGCAAAAAGGGTCCACATAATTTCAGCACTGATTTTTCCCATATTCAGTTCTTGAGGAAATCTAAAACCAAAGACACATATTATAGCATCAAAAGGAGAAACGTGTCTAAAACTAAACACCTCTTTTGACATATATAACAGCCATTATCATGCAGTTCACAAACACTTTTATTTATGAGATTTCTCTTTATGAACATTCATGGAAAAGTTAAACTATATGTATATGGCTGTAAAAGAAATTCTTGGGTGGTGGGGAAAAAAAGACTACAGTACATTAGTACCAAAATAATGGTGCTTAGGGCGCCCAAGGAATATGATAGGATGTGTGTTTAGGTCTAAATAACTGCTTCAGTTTTATCACACTCCATTTTTACGTGTCTCAATTGTGAGGTTAGATCATATTAATCACAGTAACAGTATAATTAATCACAGTGACCATATAATGCCTCAAATCACAACTCACATTCTTCCATTAGCCATTTTCTATGAAGGAAGTTTGAGTGCTTCCATTTTCTATTTGCTTAAAATGAATTACTTCAAGAAAGGTTCCTTATTCCTATGATAAAATGATCCAGGATGAACCCATTAATCAGTACTCCAGAACTCTCAGGAATATTGGTAGTTTTGATGAGAGAAGTATAGGTAAAGGCAAGATTCCTAATGCTGCTAAATAGGTACTCTTTTTGTTTTCAATCTCATCATAAGAGTCCTAGTAACAAAGAAGGATATAAGGACCAAGTCTTTTCATTACACTATTCATCCCATGCATGTATATAACACAAATTTATTCTCTTAGAAATTTGGTTTTATCAAATTCATGCATATGTATGTATTCATACATTTATACAAAAACTAATACACATTAAGGAACAAAAATAACTCAGTCTGATTTTTTATTATTGTATCCAACTTAAAAAAAGGAATAGAAACTGTCACCTATGTCACCTCAAGTAAGAAAAGACCAGAAACTACACAAAACAGTTCTAAGCCCAACTTTCCATTAAAAGCATGCATGTTTCATCAAATACCCTCTTACTAACTGCAACTATCAATTTATCTAAAATAGCAATTGAGGGCCTCCCCGGTGGCGCAGCGGTTAAGCCCTGGGTTGCGAAGCTGCCCGTGGCCTCTGCAGCACCGGTTCACTCCCCGGCTGCTCCACGGCCACCGGAGGAGGGTCCCACATGGCGCGCAGACCTCTCCTGCCGCCCGCTGCTCCCTTCAGCAGTGTACTTCGGTCAAGTCTGCCTGTTCTGTTCCCCACTCTGCTGAATTCTCTCACTCTCCCACGCTTCTGACTGTACCGAGTGCTTATATAAATATTAAAAAAAAAAAAATAGCAATTGATATTTTAAAACTTAAAGGTAAATATTATATTGAGTCATTATAAGAATTACTCAAAGTCTGCATATTGATACTGAATGCTTTCATTTAATACATTATTGAAAATTAATTTTAAGCATTTTTATTCTCTACTTCTTGTCTCTTTGAGCTCCATTCTGCATATTTTCTTCTATGCTAGCTTCATGTTTACTAATTCTCTCTTCAGTTGTAGCTAACGTTTTATCAAACCCATCTATTATGGGTTTGATAATATAATTTCACTTGTTATAGTTTTCAGTTCTAGAGCTTCCATGTGATTCTTTCAGTAGTTTTGTGTTCATTATAGAGTTTCTATTTCATTTAATTTCTTAAATGTATCAGTTATGCTATCTGAGTCTCCTATATTCTGCTCATCTTTATAGACTGCTTTTTTATTTTTTTTTTAAAGATTTATTTATTTTTATTTACACAAGCACTGGGTACAGTCAGAAGCGCGGGAGGGTGAGAGAATTCACCAGAGCCAGAGCGGGGAGCAGAGCAGGCAGAAGTACAAAGTACCAAAGTACACTGCTGAGGGGAGCAGTGGGCTGCAGGAGAGCTCTGCGTGCCATGTGGGACCCTTGCCAGGTGGCCGGGAATCGAACTGGTGCTGCAGAGGCTGCGAGCAGCTTCACAACCCAGTGCTCAACCGCTGTGCCACCGGGGAGGCCCTGCTTTTTTTAATTTTTGTTTTGTTTTAAATGAAAAAATCTGCTGCATAGAAAAATAAAAGAATTTGAATCTCTGTATTCTTCCAGAAAGGATTTTTTTTCTGGCAGGTCTGTTTTAGGTTTGGTAGAGATGATCTTAATCCAATTTGGGACTGAGATTAGTCAGTCAGTCAATATTTTATTCATATTTGTTCCTAGGATATAATCCTTTTCAGCCCTGTTCTATGCCTGGGGTGTTCATTGGAACCACTATTTTTTAACTCATGATTTCCAATTATCCCTTTGTTCCTTTGTTCAATTTTCTCAGTTTTTTGCTGTTGCCTTCTATCTAACTTGTCAGGCTCACAGCCTTTACTTTCAAATCAGTCAATAACATTTAGGGGAGAGGATAGTAACATAGTTTTCTAGGAGATGCATAAGCATATCAAAGAATATAAGGGAATTCATATAGATAAAAATTTACAATCCGTTCTAACAACTGTGTTTGGATAAGGAGTAAAAGGATTTGATTCAGTGAGGCAGATACACACACAAAAAAAACCTTCAATTTTCAATGGTTTAATTTAGAAGAATATCTAAATATTTATAAATAATAAGCAGGAAAATAAGAGCTAATATAAATGACTACTAACACATTTAGCATTTAATAATGAACATTCATTAATACATGGTCATTAACTGAAGGCTTGAAGTGTTTTGCACTGTGCTAAGGGAAGACTATATACTGCTAAATGAAACATATATGGTCCCTGCCCTGCTGAAGTTTATAACTTAGTATTAATGGCAATGTAAATATACTTATATTAATATAATTTAATAATATAAATGTATTAAATGTTATAAATATTTAGGTGTACATATATTTGGATAAGTCCATGAAGAAAAATATAGGGTGAAAAGTTAGAGATGGTTATGGAAAGCAGTGGCTCTGGTATAGCAAGCCTTTTTGGAAACACATTATCAGGTCTCAGGGCTATAATAGCATCTCACTTTCAATGCTGAAGCACTCCTGTAACATCTACAGAAATGCAAAGAAGCAACACAAACAGTTTTTGCTAATGGAGATTCAGAACTTCTGGGTATCAGGTGTCAGCAGTGGTAGAAAACTTGGTGTATGTGTAAGTTATTGTGACTGCCATGTCAAAAGGGGACATAAAAACAGCAAGAAGGGGAGCAGGATTTGAAGGATTATTAGAAAAAGAAAACAAGAATATCAAGTATGGTTGAGAGGACACCAAGGAGTCAGACCGAAGAACAAGAACAAAACGAGTCAAAAGTATACTAAGAAGTGACTGTTGTTTTTCTAGTCTATTTTCTACCTTTGGATTGATAAAACTTCAAGAAACATGGGTTTCAGCTGAAAGATCTATCACCCGTAGTACGTGAAAATTACTGAATACAATAAAGCTAAGCATATTTGATGCAGAAGATGATTACTGTTGCAAGTATTCACAGAAGTTTACTTGAAGAAAGTAATCTTTGTGTCTACTTTTGAAAGAGGATAAAGATTAATTGGTGGAAAAGAAAAGCTGTGCACCCCAGTTAATGGTTGTAATTACCATAAGAAAAGACTCTCAAAGTGATTTCTAAAATATTTTTTCTTTAATTTAGAAGCTTCAATCAGATAACTTCAAAACACGGAATCTAAAAATAAGCTGTTGGTCTCAGAATTTTCTCAGCTGCATGAGCAATGTTGAGTTTGATTTTAATTCTTAGAAAACAGTGGTTTAAGTGTTCTTATCACTGCTGTAAAATTCTCAGCATGTAGAGTCTGCCTAAGTTTTAGAACTTATTGATACATCAAGTTTCTAAGTTCAGTTCATGTCCCCAAAACTCCCTTCATGAGTCCACCTTGCCTCCCACCAAAATTTTGACTGTTGAGATGGTAATAAAATGGTAATTTATATTCATATCTTTATTCCTTTATGCAAATTAAAAAATTAGTCAACCCATGAATTTTAAAAGCTCATTTTTGTGTAAAAAAATATCAATATGGCAAAACCGAAACCAAACTATGATTTAAAATAAAAATATGGGCCTCCTTCATGGCGCAAGGGGTTATGTCTCAGCACTATGAAGCCACTGCAGGCAAGAGTTTGATCCCCAGCCAGGGAGCTACCCACATGGCACAACAGACCTCACCTGTCTCGCCCGCTGCTCCCCTCAGCAGTGTATTTCAGTAGATTTGCCTGTTCTGCTCCCTACTCTGTCTCTGGTAAATCCTCTCACTCCCTGCACCTCTGGCTGTACCCCAGTTCTTGTATGTATAAATAATTAAATCTTTAAAAATATTTTAAAATAAAAATTTAAAATAAGGGGGCACAGCAAAATGGTGACAGAGTTTTAGATGGTTAGCTCACTTGCTCCACATATTCATAGTTAAGACTGCAGAACATATCCAATAACTCCTGAAGGAGTAAAAGATGAGTGCAGCACGTACTAGGAGTAAGGTCTGGGGTGGAATGGGCCAAGGTTTTCACCTGGGCAGGTGAGGTGAGTCCCAGCAGCACGGTGGGCCGTGTAAGCCGCAGAGTGGAACTGGCAAGGCCCTCACACAGTCACCCTCTGCAGAGCTCAGAGGAAGCTGGGGTGGGCCTGGAAGCAGCACTATCATGAGGCTTCTAAAGACATCAGCACATATCTCAGAGAGAGCTGGGATGGGACCGGGATGAAACCCTAAAGCAGGGCTACCACAAAGTGCTCTGGGGAAGGTGAGCCAACCACCATGGGAAAGTCATTACCCCTAAAACATATGTGGTGCTGAAAATCATTAACTCAATAAAAAATGTGTCCTAACACATTAACTAAAGATAGAATCAGAAATTAAACTTAGGATTGTTGACGACATTCCTTTTCATTCTTTTCTAACAATTACAAAAATTGCTAAACAATGAAAATGTCTTCAGTTAATTTTTCTACTTTTTATTAGCCTACTAATTTTGCTTTAAAATATTTAAAATTCACATTATTAGCTGCATATTTTATATAATAGTCCTGCTCTAAATTTCAACATCCATTTCTTGCTAGG